TGCTAGAAGCAGCAGTTGTAATGCCTTTTGCCCCGACCTGAGCTGATGCCTCCCTTCTCACCCACGCTTGCTATTCCTGAGCTCTGCGATAGCCCACCTCTGATGAGAAGTTCTCACTCACTGCTCCTGGCCTCTGGCTCACACCTCTGAGCCTAGCTTCTCAAAGGCTCTTACAGCCATACCCAAGATTGCTTCCTACAGAAGTTCTCACGTTTCCTCCCCTACTTGTGGTCCTGACAACCTTGTGAATCTGAGCAGCAAATTCCTATCAAGGTAACTTAGTTATAGTTTTCAGGCCCTGGTGACTTGTCCCAGGATTGCGATTGTTGACTATAGGTGTCTCCAGGTTCTTATGGCACATGGTTTAGGAATACGGCGATTTTAGCTACATCCCATCAATTAGTAGTCAGGGTCTATTAGCTGACTCTTAGCTGATCACTCATCCCGAAGGTGGAATGTTTTGGTTATTGGTTTGGTTATTAAGCCACTATACATTGAGGTCACTAGAAGTAGCCGTTGTGAAATGCTTTACTGATGCAACAGAAAGACCAACAGAAGGGACTGGGAGACAGCTCAGCATATAAGAGCACTTGGTGTGCAGGCTGTGTGTGCGTGCGTGCGTGTGTGTGTGTGTGTGTGTGTGTGTGTGCATGTTTGTGGTGGGGACAGGATGGCTGCCAGCCTAGACCCATGTAAATCAAGTATGTCCTCAAATGCACTTACAACTCCAGTGTGTGTGTGTGTGTGTGCGTGCGCGCGTGCGTGCGTGCACGTGTGTGTGTGCGTGTGTGTGAGACGGGCAGGATGGCTGCCAGTCTAGCTCTAGGTCGAGAGCTGGACATGTGACACCCTCCACTGGCTTTTGTGTAATCTGCACACACGTATGTGGACACACACATACCCGATATACACTCTCTCTTCAGGAGGAAGACAGCGTAGGAAGGATATCAACTCTGAACTATAATAACAATTACAATTAACCTCAAGAATTTAATCATCCAGATGATCCACACGAAACTTTCAGTAGTAACGATGGCAGGTAGGCTGCTGGGGATGGAGTCGTATAGACACTGGGAGAAAGCAGACAGAAGTGAGTGACCTGAGAAAAACTTTTCCTCTTGTGCACAAGACCAAAGACTGATGGCCAAATAGGCCTTTGTTAGGGGCCAAGTGTGTGAAATGTGTTCATTTTAAAATGAAATAGTTTTAGTTTGTCTGGCTTTCAGTCTTAGCTGTGAGTGCTCATAAAGAGCTTCACTGACGGACATTGGTGGTACTGTTAAAAGGGCCTGAGATGCTGGTGCTGTTGCTAAGGGGCCTAGGATGCTGTTGCTGTTGCTAAGGGGCCTAGGATGCTGTTGCTGTTGCTAAGGGGCCTAGGATGCTGTTGCTGTTGCTAAGGGGCCTAGGATGCTGGTGTTATTGCTGTTGCTAAGGGGCCCGTGGTGCTGACACTATTGCTAAAGGGGCCTAGGATGCTGTTGCTGTTGCTAAGGGGCCTAGGATTCTGGTGTTATTGCTGTTGCTAAGGGGCCCGTGGTGCTGACACTATTGCTAAAGGGGCCTAGGATGCTGGTGCTGTTGCTAAGCATGCCTGTGATGCTGTTGCTGTTGCTAAAGGGACTGTGGTGCTGGTGCTGGTGCTGGTGCTGGCACTGTTGCTAAGGGGCCTGGGATGCTGGTGCTGTTGCTAAGGGGCCTGGGATGCGGTACTACCGACAAGGAGCCTGTGGTGTTGTTGCTGTTGCTAAGGTAAAGGGCCTGTGACGCCTGCAGTGTATGGACCATGGCTTGTCAATGCTTGGTGCACTACCTCTGTGTCGGCAGCAGCCTTCAGGACATAACAGAGCCTTTACTGGCATAAGAGCTTCGAGCCAGCTCCTCTTCCCTTGGTTTCAAAAATGCCTCCAAGGCTTATACATATGCTTCCTCCCTTGGAATTTATTATATAAAACTTTCTTTTTTTTTTCAGTGAACAGTGCTTTTGTTCTTACTGTTTAAACACAGCGTTTTATAATTTAACCCAGTTTAATTGTAAAACTATATAAAAAAACATTCATAAAAAGATGTAATTACGGCCACCTGACTCTGCAGTATAACCAATCCCAGGGCGACTGCTGAGTCAGCTCCTCGGGCCTGTGAGTCAGCATCAGCCGAGGGCCTGGACTTCTGAGCTGAAAGCAAATCTCTAACAGGAGTGCGGTCTGTGCAGTCTCGATGTCAGACGAGAGACTGGTTCAATTACATATTCAACATTTCTTAAAAAAAAAAAAAATCTGAGTGCCTCCACGAGCGTGTAGACAGACACACGGACACACTGTAGGTGCTGGATGTCCAGGGGTTGTGTGCAGGGCTCTCTGGACAGCCCCCCATTGATGTTTCTTTGGTGCAAGCACGTCACATGGGCTATCGTAAAGGGAGAGTGGACCCATGCACTTCAGGAACTCCTGACTTACATCGTGGAGTCCAAGACTCAGAACACAGGGCAGGAGCGACCTGACCTTGGAAGAGAGCACAACTGCCTGTCAAGGGTACAGCGGGGTGACGTAACAATTAACTCCTCACAAGAGTGCCAGTAAGGGTCAGGTCTTCACCTGCGGGTCCCTCAGTCAAGGAGACAGTAGTAGTTTGCTTGCCTGTGGGAGTTACCCTGTGTTTTGTATGGGTGTATTATCACTCTGCACTGATGGCCGTATCAGCAAGGTTCAATACACAGAGTACCAGCAGTGTTTCCACAGTCTAAAAACTCTGCCACAAATGTGGAAGCCGAGACTTTAGTGGGCTAGGCTGTGTGTCTAAAGGGGCCAACTTAGAATACCAAGTAAGACAAGTCAGGACATGCCCCCGAGGTGCTGCCCATTGGAGGGGGCACCAGCCCACGATGGCCTGAAAAAGCAGAGCCCGGCGTTAAAAGGTCGGAGGTCGAACTCACGTGAGAAACTCAGTCTTCCTTTAATAAACCACATGTCCCCTTCTATCCAGGGCTACTGACACCATGTGAAAATATTTGGCACAGAGTTTACAAAGATGGGGGGGGGGTCTTTTTCACAGTACTGTCACACCTGTAATTTGAAAGTGATTTCATCTCTCAACGAGGCCTCAATGATCTGCTTTCAACTGTTTACTCTTTTATTCACCCGAACTCAAAGGTAGGGAAGACTCAGAAGGTCAGACTGAGGAGTCGAGACTAGGTGGAGTTCATATCTCAAGGATGTCTCAATCCGTTGCAGTGAGAACTGATCATCTAATTCTCCTGGTGCCTGCAACCAGAGATGGTCTGGGCTCTTTGAGAACCAAAACAAAAGTCACAGTGCACTTGATTGGAAATACACCTTAAATGTCACCGAACACTATTAGCTAATTCAGTGTCAGGAATCCCCGCACACACGCTGGATGTCAGACACAGAATTCCAGGCATCATTAAGGACATCCCCACGGAAAAGGCACCATAGCAATGCAGGTGGAGTAGTATAGGGACCCGGCAGGCGTCCCCGGCACTCACAGGCTGACAGATCTGATTCCAAGTTATTTCATAGAAAACAAAGCTGGAGGCTCAGGAAGAGAAAGGAAAGAACATCCTATGGTGATCAGGGGTGATAGCAGACACAGGACTAGACACTTGTGTGATACCATTGCCCTCTCCGGACCTTAGCAACAGTGACTTATGCCCCACAGTAACCTAAGGCTGACCTCCCCATCTCAGTGATGTGTGATGGTATCCTGGCATTTAATTTGGAAAGAGTCAAGTGACCTTATAATACTGGGCCCAGACTTACTGGCTTGTTCTAAATTCAAAACGTCCCTCCCCTTTGACCATGTCGTAATTCAGGCCAGTGGCATGCTTACTCTGAATCATGTTTAATTTTCTATAACTGAGGAGTTATACAATTCTTGGTAAATACAGTCACTATTTAAGGGGAAGTGGTCACGAAATGCAACCATTCATGGTGCGGAAATCTGGAAAAGACACAACATTTGTAAAGAATGGATGGATTGGAGCCTGGCACAGTGGGCCATGCCTTCCCCAACACTTAGGAAGCAGAGGCAGGTGGGTCTCTCTGATTTTAAGAAGCAGGACTTCACAGCAAGACCCTGATTCAAGCTGGAGGTAGGGGAAGAAACAGACAAGAGACATAGATAAGATAACGACCGAGCATCTTTTTTGGAGTTTCTTTATTATACTGAGAAATCCCAGAGAAGTACAATGCCCCTGAAGGCAGAAGCAATTTGGGAAGAGAGACATGACATCTGCACAGGCATGGGCACACCATTGCTAGTTCGGATGGTCAAACTACTCATGACTTCATCCTGGAGCACACTGCTCATGAATTAACATCCCGGTGACGCCATATGTCTAATACCTGATTAAATCCCTACAGATGTCTAGAAATCCAAGCTATGTTCTTTCTAGAGATTAGATTATGAAAAATGATTTACAGAGCCCCTGAAGAGCAGCAAGCAAGACCGCGCCACGCACCGGAGGTTAAATGGGCATCGGCCCAAAGCCTGTCAGCTAGTGTTTATCATTTTTGATAAAGTAATGAACGCACGCAGACTGACCTTTAGAGAAACGGTCAGGTTGGTCACAACAATGGCCATGTTAGTGTTTCTATCCACTCTACTTCTTAGCAACAAATAAATGTGTGGGTACACAGTGGTACCTACCGTCCCACAAATCACAATGAGGCAGTCAAAAGGTAATCCTTTACCAAATGGTGTCGCCAGGCCACCTGAAGCTGTATTGTTTACCCCATGAACTGTGGATAACATACCGCTTTTTCATGACTTTGGGTCATATATATATTCTTCCATTGCTACTTGTAATAAAATAACAGAGAATAAGTTAGATCTGCTGATGGTTTTTCTAGACGCTGCTGCTTTGGCTCATACCTGACCTGGAAACCAACCCTCCAAGCTTAAACAGAAAACAAAAGCATCTTTCTAAGTCATGGCATCTATCAGAAGTCTAGTGACTGACTGCCACAATAGTTAGGGCAAGGTCGCCTGTCATGCTCCCTTTATTCAATACCACAAGGCTCCATGGCCCTTAGAACACTCAGCTGCTTCCAGGCACAGGAGAGGAACAGCTTCAGAGTAGGCAGGCTTAATGACAGGGACAGGTTGGTCAGTGCGTCTCTATTCAATGTCAACGGGCTCTGTAGCTATGAGGGCACTCAGCTGCTTCTGGGCACAGGACAGGAACAGCTCCAGGCTGGTCAGGCTCCGTTGGCGGGTGACTTGATCAAGCTGTTGATTGTTTAGAAAGAGGAGGAGGAGAGAGAGAGAGAGAGAGAGAGAGACTTCAGTTGGGAGAAAACCAATATGATGCCAGGGAGACCGAGCAGGAGGGGCTTTCTGTATGAGAGGACTTGAGGCCCGGTGGGACTTCCAATCCTCTGCCTGGGCAGTCACAGTCGCTGGCCTGTTACCCAGGCTGTGAGAGTGACTCTATACTCCCACAGCTGACGATGGCCTGCAGTTACTGGAGAAGCCGAATGTAGACTATCAGAATGATCTGATAAAACACGAAAACAAACATGTTGGTTCTTAAAGAGTAGGACCAAACACCCTCAAAGATCCTATCAACACCACAGATGCCCATGATGGAAAGGAAATCAATTATATCACGCATGCTTGGATCCAGGAATAAAGGTAAATGAGCTGATAACTTCGATTTACTCATCGTGGGATGGAGAGGACTGTGATAATAATAAAAAAAAAATGGGGGGAGGGGTGGAGACACAGCTCATCAGTTAGGGTCTAGAGCAAGTACTGTTTTTGTAGAGGTAGAGTTTGGTCCCCAGTACCCACACAGAGAGGCAGATAACTGGCTGTAACCCCAGCTCCAGGGGACTGGATGCCCTCACTGGACTCCGAGAGCACCCACACGGCACATGCCTGTACCACAGGGACACAAACACACACATAAATAAAAATAAAATCAATCTTTAAGGTCACTTCTCCTGTTAAGATATTTTTTAAAGTTAGGACTATTTTAGCAGATCAGTAGTAAACTAATACAGTGATCAAAACCCCCGGTTCAGCAAAGACAGTTATCTATCCCCGTGAGAACTTTCTGGACCATGAAGATAATGTTGCTAATGGTGCAGAAGGAAATATGCTAGCAGCGAGTAGCCAGTGCCCACAGCTTAGACAATGGGAGCCTTCAAGAGAGTGCTGTGGGGTTCTATTTTATAATATAAACCTGTCGTAGCATGTTTTTAATAAGCACCCCTAAATCCAAGTGGGAGTTCTCTGTTAAACCGCACTTAATAATCCACTGAAATTCAGGATGACGAAAAACTGGAAGACGAAACTTTCAAAGTATATCCAAGGGTCAGCTGAAAAAGAATGCCATTTAGCAAAGGAGCTGTGCAGGAGAATGGGCGGGCGACTCTAGGCACCTGAGGTTTTCGTGCATGTACGGCACAGTTCCGGCTCACCTTTTCTCTCAACATTTTCCTTCCTAGAAAAACAAACAAGACAGACATTCCTCCTACTCACAGGGTCATAGGAGAACCCTTGAAGTTTTAGTTCCAGGACAGCAGAGGCATGTTTTGCCTTGCAAACAACTGTATCCCCAGCTTTGAGAAATAAGGCTGGAGATGTCGTCAAGTTTCCTGAGGATGACTGAACTGATCTGTGCAAAAAAGGGCCAAAGCATCTACCGGGAAACCAGCTGATGTCGTCTAAATCCCAAGAGCAACAGGAGGTCCAAACTTCATCCAGAAATTGGGATGCTAAAAAGAGATTTTAATATCTACAGGGCATGTGCATGTACACGTACACACACACACACACACACACACACACACACACACACACACACACACACACATACAGAGTGTTTACTTGTCTTTGAAGCAATAAGAAAATTTAAAATCCAAGTGTACACCATTCAGATCAGAAGCAAAACTATCCTGTACGGATTCAGTATGTGGAATTTCTATGGCATATAAGCTGACTACTCGGGTAGTAACAGGTGGAAATTGCTTCCCAGAGTGACCGGCAGGCAAAGGCTGGAGAGATGCATCTGGGAGAAGACAGATGACAAGGACCATCGCCAAAGATGCCTGCAAAGAGGGCCTGGCTCTGACATCTTCATGCCTCAGTCTGTTGTAAATTGATCTAGCAGCCTTAGACAGCTAGCTCAGGTGGGGTCCACACCCTGCAAGTCCTCTTTGTCATTGTAGCTTTTCTTCCTGTGTCCCATGGGGACCTCTGTGTCACAGTGGCTTCTCATCCTAAGTCCTATGCAGCTTTATGTAGAAATGCATTCTTTTTTTTTTTTTTTTTTTACAAAGGACTTGCTGCTGAGTTTTGGAAATGCAAAATTTCAAATGATCCTGTTAACATTTCTATTACTTTTGGTGTTAGCACACACATTCATAGGTGGTTTCCTTTTGGCATTTTTTTTCAAACGTAATTTGTTGATCCTCCTGTGACCTTTCACCCTCAGAAGCTCCCATGTTCATAGCACAACTGTCCCTGTTAGTGGTCACTGTTCTGGTTTTATGGCCCGCCCGCCCAACCCCAGTCCCAAAGACACACACATTTGAACATTAGCTCTTAGGATGAGTACATGACAGAGAGCATGTGGCACTTCCCTTCCTCAGTCTGGGCTGCTCTGCTTCATATAATAATTTCCAGACGAATCCACTTATTCTGCGTATCTCACTTTCCTTAGTGGCTAAATAAAATTCCACTGTGGATACATACACACTACATTTTTTTCCTTATCCATCTGACAACAGGTACGCAGGTTGGCTCTGCTTTCCTCGCTGCTATGAACGGAGCGGAAATAAACAGGGATGCACAAACATCTCAGTGGGGGATACAGAGGCCTTAGGATGTGTGTGTCTGGGTGAGACGTAGCTAGGCCGTACAGTAGTTATTGTAGAGGTTTTTCTGTGAAAACCCCACCAATCATGTGATGGCCCGTCTGTCTAGAACGAGGTTATAAAAAAGTCAATTAGTTTTAATTTGCATTTCTCTGATGGTTTAGGGCAATGGACACTTTTAAATACTTGCCGGTCGTTTGTGTTGCCTCTATAGAGAGCTAGCTCTGCCCATTTTGCAAGTCCATTACCAATCAGTGGGGGGGTCTTCTGTCGTCTGTTATCATTTCTGATAGTTCCCTTTTTCTGTGTGAGTTTGTAAATCTTACATACTCACACCCGTCGATTCTTGGGGCTATTTCATGTGCCAGAATCACAAGGTTACGCCCGTGTCTAAGACATCATGTGCTTCCTCTATGTTTTCCTTTAGCATTTCAGGATTTAAACTAAAGTATTTGATCCAATCTGAACCGATTTTCGTACATAGTGGGAGATGCGCACCTAACTCCATTCTACAATTTGACATCTATTCTTGTCAATTCTACTTGTTAAATAAGCTGCCCCCATCCTACCCGGCGCGTTCTGACGTTTGTAGGCTGTTATAGCTGTGTGGGTTTTGTTTCTTGATCCTGTGTTCCGTTACTCCATGGGTCATGCTGCCGTTGTCATCGGGACGCTGTATTACCGTCTGACGCCGTGTACTATAAGATACCTGGCGGTGTTCTTTCTGTTCAGTCGTCTTCTTACTATTCATTATATTTTATGTTTCCATGCAAATTTTAAGATTTTTTCCCCCCTAGTTTTGTAAAGAATGCTATTGGGGTTTTGAGAGAGGGTTCACCAAATACATGCATTACTTTTGGAAATATGCTATTTTATGATATTAATTCTTTCAATCCAGGAGCATGGAAGGTGTTTCCATGGTCTAGTATCTTCAAATTCTTTTTTCAACTTCTTATACTTTTTATTATAGAGGTTTTTCCACCTTCTTGGTTAGGTTTATTCCTGGGTACTTTATAAAATGTTCCTTTTAAATATTATCACTTAGTCTTTGGGTATAATGGACATTGAGAAAGGTTTGTTTCTATTGCTCAAAACAAACAAACATACATACAAACAAAAAAAAACCCATCATGACCAAAAGCAACTTGGGGAGGAAAGGGTTTATTTCATTTCACACTTCCAGGCGACAGTCCATCACCAGGAAAGTCAGAGCAGGAACTTAAGTCAGGAACCTCGAGGCAGAAACTGAAGCAGAAGCCACAGAGGAGCCTTGCCTTGCTCACGGTTCTGCTCCTCATGGTTCACCCAGTGTTTGTTCTCACACCATCCGGTATCACCTGCCCAGGACACTGCACCTGGTGGACTGGGCCCTCCCACAACCATTAAGCAAGAAAATGTCACAAAGCTTTGCTTTGCCTACAGGCCAATCTGACGTGGGCATTTTCTCAACCGCGAGAGTCCCCTTTCCCAAATGCCTCTTGCTTGTGCCAAGTTGACTAAAATCTAGACAGGATAAGAAATCTCTCAATGCCTATAGTACAGGCAATTATTTCCCTGGCTTTTTAAACTTTATAATCCATGTATGCATAAAGCAACTTTTGAAAAATATCTTATAATCTTATTTCTTCTGAAACAGTTCCTTTAGACCATAAACAATCAAATTGTGATTACAAGGAGAAGAGTGGTTGCTAGCTCCTGGGATTACACAGTTACGGTGAGACTGAACTGCTCAGTCTGACTTCCCCACATCATAGTATGGAAAATGGCTGCTGAATTAAGAGTCCAGGTTTGCATTACTCATAGTCCCCTGCAGACAGACAGACAAAGCCAAACACACATACACCTTCTTAAAAGGACATCTAAACATATCAGAGTTTGGCTGCTGTATGTCAAGGTGAGTCTTCTGTCTCTGCTTTTGATGAGACAGTTCCTTCAGGTGTGCCTTGCAAAGGAACCTGCTCCAAGGCCAGAGACTACGGAAAAGCTCTGCAAGACGACACAATAACCCATCCTCACTTAAGATCATGACAAACTTCCAGATGCCACACTCATACACACACACTCACTCTTTCTCTCTCTCTCACACACACAGGTGCACATTCACGCATGCATGCACACATGCACACACGGCCATAAGATCTTGGACTTCTTTGTGGCCCTTGTTTCTCCTCACTGGAGTTGAAAACCATCACGCTTTGTCTGTAACGTGTCTGGTTGCATTGACAGAGGCTCCCTGGAAACTACATCATGTGGGCAAGCTCGCTGTAAATTAAAGGGTTTCCTCTTCCTTCTTTCTATAAGTAAGTCGGACGTGAGAGTCCACACTGCACATAAAGCTAAAGGTCAGACGTAGAGCCCCTCTCTGGGAACATATCTGTGACATTACCATACACCATGTTGATAGAG